TAGCTCTCTATGTGCACAGATTCTTTTTTTGATTCCTGAGACTGACCTTCTTAGACTCTGTCAGGACCTAGCTTATAACTGAGATGTTGGTTTGCCTGATATATTTCTGCAAAAAAATCTTACATCAAACAATGTTTGTTACATATACCTGCCTCCCCTGTCACTACAATGATTGAAAGAACATCACTTTGTGTGCTTGGACATGCTCTGTTCGTCGCTCTGCTCGAGTGTCTTTGGTAAACATGATGGCAGCTTTTTGTGTGCGGCCAGCGTTGGGTTGCCTCACACAACATGTTGATTTTATCTGGAGCTCCTAGGGGCCCTGAGTGACAAAGTGCTGAGATGTTGTGTCTGTTTATGTTTTTTGGCAGTGTATAAATCCATACGCAGTTCGATGTTAACATGCACGCATATGACTGTCCTCTTCAGCAGCAAGCCACCGGTTCATCCTTATGTATTATGGAGCTCATTGTATGTTACATTAAAAGGGAGAATTATTCGTGAAAAGAGAATGCAATTGGTTTGTCCACTGTATTATACAATACAGCTATGGCTTCATGGATTAGGAACTGGAACATCAGGCATACACACAAACACACTGAATAGATAAGAGGGGTTAATCTTGATTAAAGCTGTGTGAATGCTAAGAAATATGGTGCCCTGACAAACATCTGCCTGCCACACAGCTGAGTGGGATAAACCAAAGCGATTATTGTGGAAATGTCAGGCGAGGTAGACGGGGGGGGATATGACATGAACAGGGATATGACTTAAGTGCTTCACAGTCAGTTCTCACATTCTCTCACTCCCGATGACAGAATTGTCCTTCTCACGGGTATGTAAGGTTGCCCTTGCAGAGGGAAAATAGAGCTGGGTTTGATGGAAAGGTAGCAGTTAAAAGAAGCAGCAACAGTCTCTAACGGAGAAATGTAATTTATGAGTCTGATGTGCGTGCCAAATGTGCATAGAGCTGTAACTAATTATTGTTTTTCTTTGTTGATGAGGCTTTGTTTAGTCTATGAAATGTCAGAAAATAGTTCAAACTGTTTTGTAGCGCACAAGGTGGCACCTTCATATAGGCCTTGCTTGTTTTAGCCAACCAACCATCAAAAAACAAAAGACATTCTGTATACAGCGGTGTAAAATGGAAGAAAACAGCAAATGTTCACGTTGGAACCAGTGGAAACCTGTAAAATGTTCCCTGAGAAATGACCTAAAACTATTTGTAAAATTGTTGGCAGAACACTCTCTGATGGCCAACTAATCGATTAATTGGCTAAGCAGTTTTGGCACCTAGCTTTGTTTCTTTGGGTTGGTGTCTGAAGGTTGCCAGGTTGTCTCTGTAGCACCATTGTAAACTCTAATGAATAACTGCTTTCCTCTGTGAAATGTGAGGGGTGCAGACATTCTGTTAACCTCACTAAAGGAAAAAGGGGGAGGGAAAAAAGCCCCTTCCTGTCAGTGGTCTCTCTTTCTCTCTGTTCTTGTGAGATCTGGAGCTGATAAGTGTGAGGCCTCTAGTAACTGAACAGGAAGGATGGAGGGCCTGGCCTCAGAGGCCCTGCCTCGGCACACATGTCCACCTCCCCTACATGGGAACACAAACACAGCAGCGCCTGCAACTTCAGGTTTCAAAACTTTCAAGCCTATTAAAAGGATTGCTATCACTTGTTGGAGTGAATTCCTGTTCTGTCGATATTCTGTTGAATATAATAACAGGGGGTCCTTTTGATAAAATACACCACAGCCAAATTAATATTTTGGAGCAGCTACACATCCAGGCACAATCACACTCCCTTGTTCCACTGCTACTGAGTCAAGTGGAAGTCCTTTATTAAACAAGTATGTAGCAGAGCAGTGGCAGTTTATCATTCAACCCGAGCACCCAGAGGTCTTAATGACAAGCTGTTAAACTGATAAGCATGATGACACTGTTGTAATGTCTGTATCTGGGTGAAGTTTAAGGGAAACAAACTAAACTAGTTTTCTTTTATTAATCAGATAAGTGAAAGACTGTGTATAAATTACAGCAGATGCTTTTTTAAAAAATGTCTCAATATTAATTTGTGTAATTTATGTTTCATTCCTGCCTTGTTCCTTCATCATGTCACAATTATATATTTTATTATCTTGAGTTAAAATTAGCAGAAATTAGTAATGTAGTGTACTTTTTTCTATTTTCAGTACAGCTACTGTACCGTGTCGAGTATTAAAATATTTTCTGTTATCAAAATCATCATCACCAATATATTATCTTGATTAAATTACAAAACCATTTTAATTGTCCTAGAATCTAAGACAAATGATTCTCCACACAAACAATAGTTTCAGTTCTGCATTTATTACCATCAGCTATAACTGGGTCCAGTTCAGGCTGTGAGTGTGCCCCTGAACATTATTTGAAGTGTAGGAATTCACTTAATTTCAGTGACTTGAATAACACATATCAATGTCATCTTAACAGTCACCACACTTGAAACTTCTGAGTCAACATGACTATTAACTCAAAGCTTCATCACTGATGTGTATCAGATGAGTGGAAACATGATTTTCCCCTACACTACTGGGTCAGTAACTGGGCAAGATCTTTACTACTATATTCATGTGGATCCCAACTTGTTTTCCTTCCAAAGTTGTTTACAAAGTTGTTTACAGCTTTGGGAATCTCGGGCTTCAGTGCTGAAACTGTGGCAGAGATGTTCCAGGGTGGCAACCTTCCCAAGAGAAAGTGTGAGATAACATGCCAGGGTGACAAGCTGATTTATTAGCCCATTAATCACCAGAGAGAGAAGGAGGCAGATGAACATGGCATCCATCAGGAAAGCTCCTCTTTTTTTGTAGATAGCCTCCCCTAACCGCCACCCAGGAATCTTGTAAGTCTCTCCCACTAATGTAGGAGCTGAATGGTCAGGGTCAGGGAGCAGAGCTGGAGCTATCCCGGCACTCTCCGCCTCTGCTGACGACCCGACTGCCTTTCCGAGGAACAGAGCAGCATAACACAGCGGCAGAACTCAGTGTACTGGACTAAAAATAGATGTGGTGTCATCCCCACTTTCCCATAGACATGTACAAATGTAGATGCATGTGCTCATGCTTGTACTTGCACCCAAGGCTAGTGCAGGTGCATGTCTTCAGAAGTAATGGTAACCGCTGATGATAGTCAGTGACATGCCAGAACTTGTTTGATTGAAAGGGTGACTGTGGCTGTACAAAGCATCTGTGTATTCAGGACAGATGTTCTCCACAGCCTGCTGATGGTCTGAGTTAGTCGTACAGCAGGAGGAAGCCATTAAGCAACACTTGTCTCTAAGATGAACGTCCCCACTGTTCTGTGACCCTGTTGAATCACTGAATCCTTCTTTAAATCTCATGTGTCTTTGTACAAGCTATCTGCCTGGCTCTGCTCAAACAGATACAGACACCTAAAAAAAATAAAGGGGGGACTGAACAAATGAAATAGTGCTGGCTTCTATTTATGCAAAATTAAAGCTGATATCCCTTTGACATGCCATCCATGGATAACTTGTCAATTTCCTGCTCATTATGAATAGCCTGAATAAGCTATGCTTCACAAGCCAACAAATTAATTAATGCCATGGTGTAATATGTTTTAAGCACACTTGGCATTGAGATGCTGTTGACTTGTGAATGGTCTGTGCTGCCTCTTAAAATACAACCACATTAACAAGCCTTCCTTCTGCCTAATGTTAGCATATTATTGAATTTTTCTTTGTCAGTAAAGCAGTTACCATGGTTGGTACAGTGTTGTAAAATATAACCCAACAAGCTTAATTCAGCTTCTCACAGCTTCTGCTAAATGTTCTCTCCTCATTATGTGTGTGTGTGTGTGTGTGTGTGTAAAGCTAATGAAATGATGATAGTGGCAGCACTGTGGGGCTTTGAATTAGCACATCAGCTGATCTGTCTGTCTTTCAGATGGCCCAGTTTGAAGTTGCATTTACAGCAGGAGACAAATAATACTGTAAGTGCAGATCCTACTTGTTGTAGATTTATCAAGCATCAGCTTCTATTGAATGGACTGGCATGAGAGTGGAATCACTCTTCTCATCTGAAGAAAGCAGATATTCCAAAATGTCAAACTATTCCTACAAATACTTAGAAACTTGAATAGACCTTTACATGTCAAATAGTCACTCATAATCTAAGCCCAGGAATTTGTGGCAGACTGGCTGATAGTCGTCAATTTTGGACTTGTTTGGTAATTTTTGGGACCAAAGGTGATGATGAGGACTATGATACTGCTGCTAATCCCGCTGAAGGGGATGATTGAGTCTTCAAGGCAAAACAGCTGTCCTATGCGCCGCCTCTACCCCCGCTAATGGCTGATGATGATGGTAGCAGAGTGTTAGTGAGTGCAATTGACAGCAGAGTTTGAGCT